CTGTTATTCTTCTGTCATGCACGGCTGGTAAGAGATTCAGAGAATACAAGCCATCTTGTTGGTTCCACTGAATTATTATGCTCATAGAATAGTGTCTTCTGGTTGACTAAGGGATGTGGGGAATTGATTAGGGAACTTTATCAAATGTTGATTTCAATATTTGAGTACTTTAGATCAGGGGTCTCCAACCTTGGCAACTTTAAGCCTTGTGGACTTCAACTCCCAGAATTCCTCAGCCAGCTTTGCTGGCTGAGGAATTCTGGGAGTTGAAGTCCACAAGGCTTAAAGTTGCCAAGGTTGGAGGCCCCTGCTTTAGATGAAGTGTTCAGTGTCTGTCTGTCTGTCTATCATCTATTTCATACTTTTCAACTGCCCATCTCCCTCAGAGATGTTTATATATATACGTCATGTATATATTTTCCAAGCTTGGATGTCCCATGTTTTTTTTTTTTTTTTTTTAAGAGCTGCAGATAAAGAATCTTCGCCTCCCCCAGAAGAATGCCTTCAGCTTTTAAGCAGAGCCACCCAAGTATTCAGGGAAGAATATATTCTAAAACAGGACTTGGCTCGAGAAGAAATCCAGCGAAGGTAACCGTGGCTCTTTGTTTCTACGTTTCTAAATTCTAAATGTAGCAAGTCATTTCAGCATTTTCTTACAGTGACTAAATCGAGGGTTTTTGAGTCTTAAGATTCTGCTGCCCCAAATAAAATAGAGAATAATTCGAAGTGCCACTAATTTTTTTTATTGGATCCAATGTTTCAAAAAAGGGCACTTAAATGATTTGTAACGTGTATAACAATATTTCTAAAAATGAACATTTCTGCCTGTATGTTATCAAAAAAATTCAGTAAAGGTCAAAAATTGCATTTTGAGTCATCTTTTATTTACTCCCTGCCCTAGTATTAATTTTCTGCTGACTTAAGTGTAATACGACTGATAAACCTAACATTACTTTAAAAAATAATCTCTACTATTCTGAGAAAAGCATTTATTCTGCTTCCCCAGTGATTTATTTAACACACACTGCAAATGAAAAGAAATCCCATTTTCTCCACATTAACTATACTTAATGTTTCTACATTTTTCTGTCCTTGGAATAGAAGAGTTAATAGTTGTTTTTTGAATATTTTAATTTACTTTAAATATTAAAGCCTTGGGTGTTTATCTTCTGCAATATCTTACTCAACAGATGTGGTTAGAGGAAAACAAAATATGCACAGATTGAGGCATTGTTTCCCATCTAACCTTTAAATCTTTTCTCCGCCTCAGAGTGAAATTGCTGCGTGAACAGAAAAAAAAGCAGGTAGAAGATCTAGACTGCTGTCGAGAAGAAAGGTAAAGGCCAACCCATTTGTGAGCCGTTCCCCCCCACACACTTTATTGATTTAAACCATATACATTTTATTTCTCAGCCAAAAAGTATCTTAGAATGACTTATTTGAGCAGGACAACATGTACTACTTTTAGGACTTACAGTGTAGATGACTGACAAGGAACCGGAGATGAATATTAGGAAAAGCAAGTTCCGCATGAGTTCTCATTAGCTAGTTCTTTGGCCAGCTGCAACACAAGCAGTTCATCTAAATGTATGGAATAGCTGCCACGAATGAGAGTTATGAGAGATCCAAAATTGATTAGTTTCAGGAGAGGAAACTTGTCTCACAGTTAGATGGAATGGTTTAGAGCAAAATTACACAAAGAATTATGATGGCTTTTCTGGATTGTCCCATGGAAGTAGCAAAAGTCAATGATGCAGACTCTTTTTGTACAGAAAGTATTTTAGATTCACACACATTCAATAGCTCGAATGGCTTGGGTTCGAGATCAGAGGTGGTATTCAACAGGTTCTGACCAGTTCTGGAGAACCGGTAGTAGAAATTTTGAGTAGTTCAGAGAACTGGCAAATACCACCTCTGACTGGAGATTTTACAGTACCCTTCCCCTGCCACGCCCACAGAAGTAAAAATTTTTGAATCCCACCACTTATGGAGATCCTCAAATCATCCAGGTCATGGTTGTCCCAAAGGTGCTTTTCCAAAAGGCAATGAGTCTTTCTTGGGTTTTTTTTTCCTTGAAAATATTTCACTTTTCATTCAAGGAGTGGAACTGAAAAAGCTCCTTGGATGAGAAGTGAATTTTTGTCAAAGAAAAAAACCCCAAGAAAGTCCAGTTACCTTTTGGAAAATTACCTTTAGGACTTGGGTTGTGGAGTTGCAAAACTCGTGCTTGATTTTGGAGAGCTACTGCTGTACCGTATATTAATAGATACCACTGAACAAGACAAATGCACCTATCATAGACTGGGAGGGCCAGACATTATAGGAAACAATTTGTATGACTACTGATCCAGGTTGCTGATTTTCCTTTATCCTCTTTAACATTACCAGGCCTAACATTTAGCTCCTTTTAGGTGAAACTTAAGTCAAGTTGTACATTCTGTATTTTAGTGCTCTTCTGGTTCCTCATAGATGCTGCTACTAGAGATCATAGAAGTTGATTTGCAATGAATGTATCCACTAGAAATTGCATGAAATTACTCAAGGAATAAATACGTTTTGTGTATCGTAATGCTGTAACGTGTAAAAAAAACAAAGGTGTGTTGCTGTTCTGAAAATAACATGTTTTCTCATACAGAAAAAGCTTGAGAGAGATGGCAGAGCGTTTGGCTGACAAATATGAAGAAACCAAAGAGAAACAAGAGGATATTGTGAACAGGTGAGGATATCTTACTATAGGCTCTTCTGATTAGCTGAAATAACTGCAATTATCTAACTTCTTGCTAAAGAAACTGTTGTAGACTTGCTTAGAAGCCCAGTCATTAAACTGAACTACTTTCTAAATTATAATACATGTGTTAATAGAAGAAAGCCTAGTTTATAGAAAGGCAGTTGCAGGCTACACACCCAGTAAAATGAAAATGGATAAGCAGTTTTACTCGTGGAACTGTTTCACTTAAATACCAGATAAAAATTCTGGGTTCACAGATTCTGCCAAGTCAAACCAAAGTCAATTATTATTGTTTAGTTCAGTGAAAATTGTTTTATTAGTGTTTAGCTTTTTAGAAAAAAGGGGCTGCTGCTTTTCTAAAAATTATTATTGTACTATTGTACCTCTTTTTCCTTGCCAAACATCAAACAGCTAGAGTAACCAATAAGTGTGCTAACATTTAATTAGCAAAATGAAACTAATTTACTTTTGAACAAAAGTGTACATCACACCTCACCAAATAAGAAACTAAAATCTACAAGTAAATTTGAATGGAATGGTTATACATTGTATAAGTGTAGCACTATTCTGAGAAGATATTTGGTTATGTACTCTGAAAAGGCATAGCGAATCCCCATCTCCACTGCCGCTTGTTAGAAACCTGACATTCTTTTTGTGTCTACAGGATGAAGAAAGTTCTCCGTAGTTTCCACTCACAGCTGCCTGTCCTGTCGGATAGTGAAAAGGATATGAAGAAGGAGCTACAAACAATACAAGAACAACTGCGGCATTTAGGCAATGGTATCAAGCAGGCAAGTGGTTCTCATTTCTAAAAACATCTAGAAAAATAAAATGAGGGTCCTTGCCGCTCTCTGAGATTGCTTGTTATCCTGCAGACATTTCATTACCCCAACTAGGTAACATCATCAGTGCAAGTAAGGAGTGCTGTTTGTTGTCAGTTTATATTTTGGTGTCTGAACCCCTCGTTTCAACCCCGAGCTACAAATATTCTCCTTTATGAGAACAATAAAAGTAACTTTTGAGGTGTTTCTCCATATTGCTTCCCTGTACTCTAGGTTAAAATGAAAAAGGATTACCAGCAGAGAAAAATGGAGAAGGGAAATAGTCCACAGAAGCCGAGCATCAACCTCAGCACCTATCAGAGGAAATGTATCCAAGCTGTTCTGAAAGAGGAGTGAGTCAATTGCTTGCTGAGCTATGATTATTTTCTTGCATAATTAATATTTGATTAATGGCAAATGCATGCATGGTGCAAAGGCTTCCATCTTGGTTGAGTTTCTAGGTTGCTGACAGCTGCTATACTAACTCTGTATATAGTGTTATGATCTGGCCAAGTTGTATAGGTCCTAAATATTTGTGTGTTTATTAGCTTTGTGAGAGTGACAGACAACTTCCCCCCCCCCCCCCCCAAAAAAACACACACACACACCCAGTATATATTTCCAGTAAGAGGAAGGCAATTTGTGAGACTCTGTAGGTATTAGTTATACATAAAAATTACTGGACTAACCAAAATACATCAAATTTAAAGATTTCAATTACAAACTGTCTTTCTTACTATCCTTGTTCAATACTGAGATAAAGAAAACTTTTTTTTTCTTTCAGGGGAGAACACATTCAGGAGATGGTGAAACAAATAAATGACATCAGGAATCATGTCACCTTTTAGTCATTAGACTACAGACTTACGTTGTTGGAATATTAAATGTAACCAGCTGCATTTTTATTAATTTATAAACTGAACTATTTTTACAAAAAGATCCACTATTAAATACTCATTAGAGGATGCATCTGATTACAACGTATGTTGCAGCGTTCTGCAGAAGGCATGATGCTAAAGACAGTTGACTTCCGCCCTTTTGATACTTCGTGGGGGAAAATAAGGGAACTTTGTACTTCTTGGGACTTCCACTTAAATGTTTGTAATAACACACTGTTCATTTCAAAATAAAAATCAATACAACCACTGTACCAAAATTTTCCATATAGATCATTTTCTGAGCTAACTGTATGGACCCTTCTTAAATCATCAATACAATACAGTTAAATAGAAAGAAGGTATGAAAAGAATTGCAAGACTTTTCTCCTTTAATTTGGAACACTTTTGCAGGATACACCTCCAATACAGTTAACAAATGGTTACATTTTTTTAATTCAATAGACAGGATAATTTTACATCCACAATTTCACAGGACACCAGTGGCTTTTGCTGGAATGCAATATAATTCCAAAAGTGTGGAATTTGAAGGCTAGTTTTTTTTAAGTAAGGGGCTTTATAGATTACTTACCCATCTCCCACCCTTATCCTTGGCCACACTGTGTTGTTAGAAGCAATATAGTTATGCCATAGCAATACAAAAGTGAAAGTAAACCATTTGACATGTTGGAAGAACCTATTGTGCACTTATTAAGACTGTACAAGTCTTCCAGTAATTCTTTGACCTTTTAGTATACATTTTGCATACAAAAGGACTGTACAAGTATACAGACCAGAGCCAGCCTCAACTGTTCTTTCCTCTCATTTTGCACACAATCCCTATTTAAATCCGTACTGGTCACTGCATTATGCCTATTTGTAGTAGCTAAGCCTTTGAATGAGAGAACTGAAAACTAATGGCATAAATTAATTATTCCTTTACATTAAAAAAAGTCAGAGTCATACAGCTTTTTTTAAAAAAAGTTAATTATGAAAGCAATTCATTTTCAAGATCAATTGAAAAATGGGGATTTCCTGCCATTAAAACAAATTTTCCCTTTTTTAAACATTTGTGTGAACTAGCAGCATATTATTCTCAGGTTTGTAGAGGTTACAGTATTACATTGTCAATATTTGTTTAATTATATGTATAAATTTTAAATGTAGTAAAACAGATCTATCTTCCCTGCGTTCTCTTCCAAATCGTTTCTTTCCCCAATGATTCTGAAATACTTCAGCAAATGCTTTTTGATTTTGTACCAGTTACATAGTTAGAACTTACATGGAATCAAGTTGCCCCCTCTCTTCCTCCTCACCTCAATTACTATCCAGAAAACTTGAAACAGATAAACTCAGTTGATGGTCTTTGCCCACCCAAAAAGTAAAATAGAGTGATAGCTTTCTTTCAACAATGGGGAGGTATTCAAACTGCTCACACCCATCTACAAACTAGATATTGAATCAATACTTGCTTGTTCAAGAAGCAAGTAATAATAAACATGATTCAATTACATTGATTCTGGTCTAGAAAATGAATGTCATAAGTGATAGTTGCTCTCTTGGTAGCAGGTGTGGAAAAATTGGGAATGAACAGTTGCTTGCAACTCCATTAGCCCATTTCAACATTCATCTGTTCAACTATTGCCTGACCACAAGAATAAAAATCCAATAGAAATACAGATTAAACACATTTTATCTACTTTACACTCATTCTATTTAAAACAGTTCCTAGGAGTTTATAAGCTCTTATTGGAACCCAGGTAATCATGCAGCCCCCTGACTGGAAAAAAATATTTTAAATTGAGAAGCATCTTCCTTTTCCCTCAGAGTTGGATCACAGCAAATCAATTGCATTTGGGTTCTGGAACCCTTCTATTACGGAGTTTAATGCACCTTGCATGTTCTGATTTTATGCCTACAACAAGATTTTCCAAACCTGTATCATGAGCTTTTCAAGAGAAGCATTCCGTCCAAGCATAAACATAACTGCAGCTTCACAAACATTTCCTATCTGAGGTGTTGCAGCATTATCTTAAATGTATAATTTTAAACCCAATCTTTAAACAAATACATACAAAGCTAAAGGCCTTCTAGAATCTGGGTAGAGATTTGCAAAACACCTCTGTACTATAAGGATGATAAGGCTTTAAGTTTTTTATGCCATGGTAATCAAATGTGTATTGATAAATCTGACTAATTCAACTCCACGTATTTCAGTGAGAAAAGTGTAATGCTGAATCCAGCCATATGTTGATGTTGTGCAATGCAGCTTTTTTTTGGGGGGGGGAGGGGGGGAGGGAGTAAGGCAAGATACTGAAGCAATTTATTTTGATTTGCTTTTTTTCCTATGAAGATTAACCTTCACTTCCCTGACTTTTGTGTCTTATGAATTTATTTCCCCATTCTAATTATCCATTTCCCCCCTATGCCTTAGGTTCTTTTTGGAAAATTTGCAGCCTTCTCTCTAATCCTCTTCTTAGTCCATATTCTGTCCATGTTTTTAGTTGGGGCTCTTCCAGCACAACATTCAAGGTACAAAAAATGTACTGAGCTAGAAAAACCCAAAACCTGGTGTCCTGCAAATAAATTCATATTTTAATATAAAATATTAATACAATATACTATTTTCCCCTTCTGCCCAACTTGCTAGTGTAACTTCACTCCAAAAGATTTGGGGTAGGATGGGAGGAGATGATTTTCAGCAATTACTTTCATCACAGTATTTTAACAGGGTATGGATGAGAGGGAGGGAGGGAGGGAGGGAATGCTGTATTCCAGGATCACATGGGTGGGTGGGGGGGGGCAGGAGGATGAAGGTAGATGAGTTATATGGAGAAGTCCAACTACACTGAAGGCAGACACCCTGCAGGATCCTGCCAATCTTCTCTGTGTGAAACTTTCTTCCCGCCCATAAAACCTTCCTCTCCCTCCCAGAAACACAACCTGGACCATGGCTCTTGTGTCATCTTCTGCTCTTTCAGTTAGAATTAAATAATTATTAAAGGTTTTGCTATAAAGAGGGTTTTTTAAAAAAACACCAAAATGTAGCTTTGCAGCTTTTGCTACCAAGGCTGTCATGTTTCAGGTAGTTGATTAATGTCAGTCAGTTTTGTATCATTGAGGATTGCACGAATTCTCTCCAGGGAATCTGCCTGCCGGATCCGTTCCAACTGGACCTGAGCAAAAATGAGCAACACATAACATTAACCGAATGACTATCTGTAAGGGGATTGAGTTTCTCTTAGTTATAAAGTTTAAAGTTCTGCAGGTTTATTTATCAATAAACACATAGGCAGAGGTCCTGGGTATGTTTAGCCTGGAAACTGTAAGATTACAGAGAGACATGAAAACAGTCTTCAAAAATCTAGAAGCTGGGGAGTAATTAATTCAGAGTGGTTTCAGAAGGCAGGACAAGGAACAATTGTTTACAGTTGAGGAAAATCTGGGTTGGCTCTCAGGAAACATTTCCAAAGGGCAAGGGCTGTTCCCAAAATGTAACAGACTGCCTAGGAAGGGGGTGGATTTTCCTCTGTTGGAAATTAAACAGCCTGAATAGATAGTAGATTCTGCACCAGGCAAGGAGCTGACCTGGATAAGCTCCAAGATCACTTCCTACGCTTACATTCTAGAATTCTCAAAGAGAAAAAAAAAAAGATTTCTCCTCTGAGCATGAAATAACTCTATGGAAGGACAAAATTTAGCAAGACCTATTTTACTCATTATTTGTGGGAACAACCTGTGGCCTTGGAAAGTAGGAGCAACCAAGTAGAGCAAGAATAGGACAAACATCAGAGAGAAACCTAATTCTGGTGGCTAGAAAAATCCAAGAATTGACACTTTTCACTGCCTTCATTCCCAAGTGATCATCTCACCTGAAGGGTCTGAGAAAGCTTAACAAAATCTCTCTGTACTTGCTCACTGACATCCAATTCTGTCTGAAGCCGTTGAGCTTTGTTCTTTTCCTCGAACATCATATGTTCTAAGTTAGCCTGGGAAAGGAAACAGCAATGATTTCTGCATCTTGGAGATATGGGTGGTGGTGGTGGTGGTGTGTGGCTTATAAATGTAGCTTCATGATGGCCTTCCTAGTCAGAGAAGACTGGAAGGGTTTTAGGAAAGGAGGGATCTCTTACCACCTGTACTGCACTATTTCAAGGTAATTTATCCAAACCGCATCTCTACGTGCATGAAATTGCATTTGCTTGTTCTCCTTTTCTACCCTCCATTCCCTATGTGCATATATTGCTCATATTGCACTGAATCTAATTTGCTGTCGGTCTGTCTGTTCCCTGTATTCCTTTCAAATGTCTTTGGATTTTGTTGATTTCAGAAATACAGGATTGATCCCATTCAAGTCCCTTCTTTTGTGAACTGTTTGTTACAATGACAAATAGTTCCTCTACCAATGACTAGGCTTGAGCACTATCAGCCCCCTTCCCATTATAGCAATTCAGTGCCATTTAATGTCAGTCATACAAAATTACTTACCTTTGTGGCAATTTCCTTTTTCAGCTGTTCTTCCAGATCATTTTCTCTCTCTTCAAAGTTTTCTAACTGCTGTATCTTTTCTTTCAAGTTGGATTCCAACTGTGAAAATGGAAGAATGTATTGAATGGGCTAAAAGCTCTCCAGTGCTAACCAACCACTTAGGGCTCTTCTACAGCCTATCCATTTTTGCTTTGTAAAATCTTTTGTGGAATTATTTAAACTTCTCCCTTATTGAAAGCAAACACTGAAGCTATCACCAATTATTTTAATCTCTTCTGCTGCTCAGAAGTTCCTGACACCATCTGTTTTCTGACTACTTGTTTTGCCAGTGTGATGTCAGGATATACACAGAGAAAGCAGTTTTATGCCAGGTATACATAAAAATCTGAGAACAGCATTAATTAGTCCTTTGACATGTACCTTACTACTATTATTCCAAAGTAGTTTATGGCCTTGAATATGGTTCTCAATTTTAGGCAGAAACTTTATCATGAAAAGAGGGGAACAAGCATGAAGAACCACTATTTTGATGGTCTCATTTAAATGCTTTCAAAATGTATTTTGCCCCTCTGTTAGCAGTTCTTTTTTATACCCAGAAAAAAAACATAACTAGGAAGGAAGATGTACAACATTTCCTCCACACCTAACAATTTAGAATAACCGCAGTACTAAATAAAGAATTATTCTCTGTTTGAGACAGATATGAAGACCTTTGAATAGGAGACCCATGTAATCCATGTACACAGAGGGAACATCAAAGGGTTTTTGCCATGGTATACTGTACTGAGCACCTCCCAAAATCTTTAGATAAGTTACCTGGTCTTTATTCACTCTTATTTGCTCCAATTCTGTTTTTAGACTGGATGCAGCAGCTGTTAAAAATGGGGAAAGGTTTTAATTTCATTTATGGACTCATATTCAGCTCAGATTAACTAGGGAGGGACTAGTAAATTAGGAAGGCAAGTGGAGTTCCCTGAAAGATGCTTAAATATAAAGAGAGCCCTAGTCTCACCTATTTCCTCTTTGCAATTTTCTATTTCTAGCTGCAAAGTCTCTTCTATGTTCTCTTTTAAACATTGTTCGGCTTGAATCTGTTCTTTTAAAAATAAAATTTCTGCCTTCAGTTTTTCTTCCAGATGATCAGCTGCAGTTCGTACACGAATAATGTCTTCACGATACTTGAGGACCAATTCACGGAGTCCCTGAAACAAAGGCTTATATATATATATATATCAAACTGTCTTCCCGCATGCATATACCATCATGTAATAAACTGTAAGGGGACTTTGATTGGAAACTGATTTTGAAAAGGACAAAAGGGAAAGATACAAAAGGGGAAACAGTAGTCTTGAACACTTTAAAATATAATAATTCCAAGTCTAGAGAATTCTCTAGATTCTTCAGGTTTTTTTTTTAAGGGTAAGGAGAGGCAGGAATTTAACACTAAAAAATATTCCATAGTAATTTTAAATTAACACCTTTGTTAATTTAATGTCTAACACAAGAGCAAGTTCCTGAGCCCATGGGCAACATTGGGGCTGTCAGTTATCAGAAAGGTGTTTTTAAGGCCAGCAGCTTATGTAATTTGGGGCCTAATATAATTGTCTCAACCTTATTCCCTCCAGATATGTAACCTATATAAGTTAACAGCTGGAGGGACTCAGGTTAAGGATGACTGGAAAAACAAGGGGAGTTATAATAATTACCAAGCGGTAAAGTCATATTGTTTTCTTCTATTAATCCATTTACTACAAATGCCGAGCAACAATTCCAGACTGTAACAATTTCAGAGAGTCCTGCTTAGAATGTTGTTTGAAAATATATTACCACAATTGCGTAATAAGATATCTTCCTTGATGTCAAATGCTTCCAAGCAGAAATGGGAGGAACTTAACTTATAAAGTGTATGATTTGAAGCTAAATAACTAAGAAACACTCTTTTTTTCTTATGAAACAAAAAGATAAGATAATAACAAAGTATTGTACAGGCGGCTTTAGAGTGAAAAAAATAGTGATTGTTCAAGATATACTGGAAATTATCTAGTTTAAGACAGATAAACACCAAAGCATAACCATAGATAGGGTCGCAGTTTTTACTAATTTAAGATTTCAGTTTAGATAAATATTATAATCAACATGTGGATCTACTCACATAAATTACTAGAAACAAGTTTCTTTTTCTAATCTTAAAAAAGTGATAGCCATTATTCCTAAACTTTAATTGCAAGAATGTCTTACCCAATATTATGCCCGAAATGGATCTGTTTAAAATTAACCAAGAGGTATCTTACCTCTCCAGTTTCTGGAAGTATAAAGTCCTCGGCTTGCTGTAAAGACATGTGCAGACAATGTTTTCCTTGAAGGCTTTCGTTATCCTTCTGGAGCCTTACCAATTCCTCTGAAACGAGCTCTCGTGATCGCATCAGGACAACCTCCAGCAAACAAAGAAAGAATTAAACCCTAAAAAGTCAGCTCTTCAGATTAACTCACATTTCATTCTTAATAGGGTGGAACTAGGTAGTGGACAAGACAGGAAAAAATACCAATATGAAAAATATCCTTGCTCACCATGACTTTCTGCCCACAACTTATTAAATATGTGAGTTGTGAAATTTTCAACTAAAATACTAAAAAAAGGGATTGGTTAAATGATACAGCCAGCATGTAAGGTTATTCAACTCAAAACAAACATAAGCATTCTGTAAAAACACATAAACCCAGTTAAAGAAATCCGTTTGCCTACCATGTCCTTGAAGAGAAAGAGCTGGAGAGGAGAACCAACTAAAGCAGGACTGTCAAACTCCCGGCCTGTGGCCAGATGCATCACGTGCTGGCCACCCCCACCCCCGGGTTTAGTGAAGGGGGGGAAGTCCCGATATGTCACATGACGCTGCTGTAATGTGAGTTTGACACCCCTGAAGTTTACACCTTTGATTTTCAGAAATCACTTCCCAAACACTGACTAGCTCACATCTACTGCTGCCAAAAGTCTAGCCAGTACCTTCGTGGCACAATGACTTATGGGATAGTAAGCATTTCCTGAAGAAACTAAGTAGAGATTCTGCATTTACAAATAATTTGGCCCACTTAACCCAACTGTGATTTGTTGAAATCACTAATAGCTGACTGGGTTCAGTTGTTTAGCAAGGCCTTAGCAATTTTAACATTCTAGGAGTAAATTAGCCACATCAGATACAATTCTACAATAATTCATAATTATCTAACTTTAAACAGAACAAACACAAGAATCTACAGTACATTAAGTAAAAGAAGTTTGGAATGTACAGTTCTAGGAAAAAGAATAACTGAAAAACTGGCTGCATAAATAAAAATACAGACCCCCTCCAGGGACACATGATTTCCTCCAAAATACTGAAGAAAAATAGATCAACTGATTAGGAAGCCGGCCAAACTATTTAGAGCTTATTCTTACCACTTTTAAGCTGCTATTTCACAGACAGCACAGCTAATAAGACCACGAGGAGCTTATAGGAAACCCATCCAACTGAAATTCAGACCTAACCTTTGTCCCAATCTACCTTCCTGACTATATTTCTGGGCTTGCATCCATAATGACATATCCCCAAGGTCTCTTATCAAGTATCATTCTGATCAATTGTATTACTTTCTGTTCAACATTTTCCTAAATCTCATTCTGGCCCATTGAGACAAAGTGGTCTTCCACCATTTAGATAAGCTGGAAAAGAAACACATATCCGTTCTGTGTTATCTAGACAATAGAGCAATCCTCTTCTAGGTCCCAGCTTCGAAAAGTACAGCGGGCCCTTGTTCAACATTGTAAGAAGGGTCATCTGAACCACCATAAAACCAAAACCATGACATTCTTCGTAAATACTATCCTAGTGTACAAGTAGGAACAAAAGAAAGCAGTTCTGGTGCTTCACATTTATTTTATTTATTTAGTAGACTGGAATAGTACTGGATTTTGTATAATTCAAGGTGGTGTATATAATGTTTCTGTCTCCTATTTTTCCCACAATAACCTTGTGAGTAGGTTAGGCCTAAGAGCAGCCACAATGTATATTTGAAAACAGGCAGCATGGTGGCCACAGCATCGTGAACATGAACATTGTGACTGCCACTTCTATACACTTGCCACAATTTTACACAATACTCTTATCTTGCCTGTGTTGACATCCCTGTAGATGCCATTGGGACCTGAGTTCATCTTGCAGGACAGACATCACCAGAAAATGGCCAAACTAACATCATTTGGGTTCCCCTCCCCTATTTACTGTCAAGCATATCAGTATGTTCCTTAAACAGTACATAGTTGATGCAGAGTGCCAAATTGGGTTAGGGCAGGTGCCAAATTTTTCCTTCATAAACAGCATAAGGTAATTCCAGCTACAGACCTTAATCACAGAAGGTCTCTAACCTGTTAGAGGTGTATTGAAGAGAAGATATAGAAAGACTCCCTTCCCAGAAGATCTGTGAACCTTGTTGGTTCATTGGCTATTCTTATGAACCAATTTGTGTGTTTCATAGAGCATATGAGAGGTTTTGCTCTTCAAATAAGGACAAGAAGAAACAGATACATTCTGTGCAGACTTTTGAGAGCAAAACCAACTAGAATATCCTAAACTGTCCTCCATACTCAGCTAGAAATGGACAGTACCCACGAGTGATACTTGTCTATAGAAAAAAATGGAATAATTACACATAATATAAAACAATAAAACTATAATAATATGTAGAATAAACAACAAATATATTCAAATATGTATATTAAAATAATTCTTCACTGTTTACCATTTGATCTTGGACATTTCTTTTAGCTTGAGAAAATGCCTGCTGTAATTCATTAAGTAAGGCATCAGATTCCTGAGCTCTAGCAGTAAGTGATGAAATCTGTCAAAAAGAAGGGGAGAAATATGAATAAATTATACACACACACACCTTGAATGCAAAATGGCATAATATAACAGGTATTTTTTAAAAAATTCCTAACTTTTTAGCAGAACTATTTTCATTTTTTCCCTTACAGAGTTCCATGCTGAAATCTCAGTAACAATGGGGCAAGTGCTCCAAAATACTTGAAGGTAGTCTTCAAATTGACGGTCTGCCTCTGGGGATTTCACATGCATGTACATGTAGCCCTCAACTTATGACCACAAGTGAAACCAGACTCTCGGTTGTTGAGCAAAGCCCACAATCCTGGCACTCCCAATTGCATCTGTAAAACAATCTCCCAGTGGATGTGCTGAAGGTTTTCCTTGCCCCTCACGGGGCTCCTGAATGGAGCTGAACTCTTCAAGATGTCAACTCTATTCCTGAAGCCACTCAAAGAATTTCAACTTTCCTCTATCCCCTCCACTTGCAACCTTTCCTGCCAGCTTCCGCATTGACCCTCTGGAAAAGCTGCTAGAGAAGATTGCAAATGGTGATCACATGATCGCAGGGCACTTGATAAAAAGCTGGCTGATTGTCAAGCACCTGAAATCTAGTCATGTGATTGTGAGGGAGGGGCCAACATTTTACGATGGCTGGAAGTAAACACCTTTTCCGAGGCCATTGTAACTTTGAATGTTAAACAACCAGTTGTAAGTTGAGGACCATCTGCAGAATTTTTAAAAAATCAACAATACAGAATTGGCTTATCACCGCTGCCTCCTGGGATGTTTCTTTAATTCCCAAACTATACTAGCAATATTATACTAATCGTATTAGTTATGATTAGTATACTAATCACCAAGAACCATGATGGCACAGTATTGCAGGCTAATGCAGTATTGCAGGCTAATTCTTCTGATTGCGGACTGCCAGCAGTCAGATTCTTACCAGCTCAAGATTGACTCAGCCTTCCATCCTTCTGAGGTCGGTAAAATGAGGACTCAGCTTGTTAGAAGCAATTTGCTGACTCTGTAAACCGCTTAGAGAGGGCTGTAAAGCACTGTGAAGTGGTATATAAGACTAAGTGCTATTTGATCCTGTTAACTTTACAAGATAAACATACTCTCAAATCACCTCCAGTACATTCTGCAGTACACAATTGGTATAAAAAGAATCAACTAGTTTAAATATAGGCTCTATGCAATGGTCATTCTCACTTAAGAATTTTTAGTCTTCTGTAAGATTGTCTTTACCTGACTGACTGAGTCTTCGCTACTTTGTTTCATAAATTCCTCCAGCTCCTGTTTCTCTCGTAATGTTTTTTCTAGTTGATCATTGGCCTGCCTCAACATCATTTGAAGTTTCTTCACCTACGGGGTTAGACACAATACACCATAAACATCCCTTTTCTAAATAAGGTTGATTTTTCTCCAAGACAAAATCTATGCTTATAATTTAGAAACAAGATGAAATAGATAAAGAAACCATGAAAATGAGAGTTTCACTACAGTTCATGCCCTCTTTGCTGAACCTTTTCTAACATCACAGCCATCTGATTCTTTGACCCCATAACAAAATGTTAATACTTTATCTTAAAAGGGTAGAAAGATTATCTGTTGTGTTTGATTACATTCACAAAAATACACTATTTTCTCTTTTAGCATTAATGGAAATACCATACAATTTGCTTTCATTCCCTGAAACGTATATGTTCATAACTGAACATAGAATCAAGTACCTCATCCAAATGTTTATGAAGAGACTAAATTTAAAAGCTCTATTAAATACAGTTTAAACTGTAATAAGATCACTGGAGATTAAAAAATCTGAAACTATTTTGTCTATCTGCTAGAGGGTTTATGCACAGGCTCAGGTACTATTCTTCCAGCCTCCAACTTGTACATATATTTGAGTGTGAATAAGAGGCTGAACTGAGTTTAAAGCAAACAAAGGAACCCTTCCCCAAAATTAGGTGCTCTCATTTCTCATGAAAATAAAAACAAATTTGCTATCAGCCTTATACAGAGGTGAATGGAAGGCATGTGTAAGTGACACATGAATTGTACAAGAAAATAAGCATAGTGGTATAACTGGAGAAATCATTATGTGTGGAATCAGTCCGTGCAGGGAATCAGTCTAACTCAAATCAACTTCAATAACCAAGTCTGATCTTGAAAACAAGCCCAAAGTCTTTAACAAATGAAATCCAAATCCAAATCATTCAATACTGACAGTTCAATTAAATACTGTTTAAACAAATCTGAACTGTTGTGCATAAACAGCAGATGAATGTTATTGCAAAAGTCAGGACAGAAGCAATATTTATAATAAGTTATCACAGGGATCCAGAGGTAAATCTGCCTCCAATTAATTTCTTACTCCTGTATAATAAATAATACTGAACTAATTGGTCACTGAATTAACACAAGCCGTAAGTTTGCATAAGCAGCATTAATTTATGTGTACAGAAGAAAGCATGAGAATTCATAACGTAGCAAGACAGGGATATCAAACTCAAGGCCTGCAGGCCAGATCTGGCCCGTGGGGTGCTTAAATCTGGTCCGCGGGGCCAACTTGGAAACAGCAAAAGGCCGGCCGATTGGTGCCTCTGCCACGAAAACAGAGCTTGGGAGAGCCCCAGCTCCGTTTTCACTGGCAGAGGGTTGCAGAAAGCCGGCACAGCTGAAAACAGAGCTTGGGAGCCCGTTTTTGCTGGCAGCACGCTTGGGCCACCACAGGTGCCCCCGACATGAGTGACATCGAGCTGGTCACGCCCACCCTGGCCCCCCCGAGGTCAAACACAACCCTGATGTGGCCCTCAATGAAATAGAGTTTGACACCCCTGGGCTAAGAGCTAGCAATGTTGTTTCTACCCACTGCTTAAGTCTGTCTTAAGGCAGCAACTTTTCCTTGACATGAATAGCAAGAGGCACTCACTTGGCTATTATTGGATTAGGTATGAATATCAGCATGAATATTACTGAGAATGCGTTCAAAGGCTAGCTCCCATAGGGCAAAGGTGTTGGAACTGGGGAATCTGCTGAGAGTTTTCTCTCTCCAATTGTTTAGTGGGTGAGTGGCTTATTCTTATTAGATGGTTTTCCTATAAATGTCTCATTTATTAGAGAGAACTTTTTTTGTATACTTAATTGGCCAAATTAGTTTTAAATATGTTGGATCCTAAGAAATCAAGTCAGAAGAGACAAAAGTGGAGTAGTAACTGAAAAAGGAATAACATCTGGGGTTGCACAGAGTTTCCTTCCCGTTTTACACTGAAAGTCTCCTTGTGTTACACTAAAACTTTTAATAGGATGAAATATTAATGGGGTGATCAATGAACACGGGTTGCCTTGTGGTTTTTACTGCATTTGATTTTATTAATGTGACATAAATTGCTGAGTTGTGAAAAGATAGGGTAGTATTGGTGCTGTAAATAGCCCTAAGTGAAAGATGTCTTGTTTTATTTCTCATTACCTCTTGGAATCATTTCACTTTCTGCATGATTAGAGACCAAACGGCACCCACCTGATCCCTTGTTTCAGCCTCCTGAATCTGGATGCCTTGCAACTGTTTTTCATAATTTGAACACATGTCACAGCGCCTTCCCAGCTTGTTCCCAGCATTTTGCACCTGGAGAACATAAAATCATTATTTCTCTGGAAAGCTTCATAGAAGAATATGTATAAATCCCACTGAGAGGATGGCTACAACTGTAGCAATTTTGGATAAAAATCAAGAAGTTTTCAGCCGAGAGGTATAATACACAAAACATTCTCAGATGGGAGTATACAGTGTGTATAAATGCATACCTCTTTCTGAAGGAGATTCCATTCCGTTTCACTAACTAAACGGTAACCGCTAGGAGACACATAAGCATTTTCTACACTCTGTGTGATGCTGGAGAGAAGGGATGCTGTTTCCTCCTGCTCTGGTGTCATTGCTGTGATTGCTTTTTCCTGGTCTTTGGTTAACATGAACCCACCAGGCATTTGCAGAGAGCCCAGGGAGGCAGTGTCAAAGTTCTCCGATATAGAGTCTGCCCCAACCAGTGGCCCAAAGTCAGATTCATCAAGGTTCCCAGCTGATTTGGCTTTATTGTTGTAGCCCAGACTTTTGGCTTGTAAAGATCCTGATGTTCCCAAACTGTCTGTTGACTGAGCTCTACGCAGTCCCTCTTTAAACATGTCATTGTCCGACTTGAGAGACTCTCCTGAAGACAGCAATGCATCTGTGTCAAGCGAGTGGGCTGAACCATGAGTGCTGTTGAGGTGCACCTATAATTGAAGCAGAAAAACTGTCCAACAATAGAAAACTTCCCGATATCCAGCCAATAACCCAGTCCAAAATATATAACCTGCCAATGAGTTAGGGTCTTTCCCCCTCATTTCTCTCCAAAATAAAATCTTCCTCCCCCTTTAGTGGAGTTTTCATTACTCAAAAAACTTCTTTTTTTGATACATACTATCTCTTTATATCTTATTTTCATCCAGATTAGGAATTTCTTATTCAGAAATCAACAGTTTGTCAGCCCCTCCACTTGCTCTGGAATAGGCTGTGCTCTTAAAAGAAACAGCTCTAAAGGAGACTAGAATGCTTCTAGATTCAGACTCTGAATAGATCAGTAGGTGGAGAATATGGCCAAAGACGCATTTGCTCAGCTACAGCCATTTGGGGAGCAGGAAGCAATTCATATTCTCTTCACATCAAACAGGTTACTGAACTATGCTCTGTTTACAGTTGTCCTTGAAGACCACACAAATGCTGCAACTAGGAGAGAATGCTGCAGACTGCATTCTAATGAGGGAGATCTGATTCAACAGTATGGCCCCTGCACTGGAGATGCTACATTAATTGCTAAACAGTTTCTAAATACAATTTAGGTGCTGATAGTGACCTATCAGCAGGCTTAGGCTCTGGGAACCATCAGGATTCCTTCCTCCAAATAGAACCTGCCCATCCTGTTTGTAGCCCTTTGGAAATAAAGTTTAAGATAAATATTTTGAGGAAGAACACAATAAAATTCTCATTGGGAATTTATTGTGAAAGAACTGGCACATCTGTCTTCTATTTCAGGCTTATAGTATATCAAGCTTATAGTCTCCTAGTTTGATTTGATTGCTTATTTGTACCCTATGACTATCATTAAGTGTTGAACCTTATGATTCTTGATGAATGTATTTTATTTTTTCTTTATGTACACCGAGAGCACATGCACCAAGACAAATTCCTTGTGTGTCCAATCACACTTGGTCAATAAAGAATTCTATTCTATTCTAATTTGGAACAGTTTCTCAAATACATACCGTAATTATCAAACATCAGTGATTACTCTATTTGTAAGAGAATAGAATCCCTTGCCAAAATCGTATGCAAAGTCATATAACTTCTCCGCCTCTTTTAAACCATACTTAAAACATCTCAAAGTATTTCATGCTTATTGTTCCTTAATTAAAAGCTAGCTTTTGAACCATGATTTATCATGAATCAACAATAATTTAAATTTCAAGTCAGGCTACACATTTATAGGAGATGGTGAGAAAACACACACAATGGATCAATTGCCCCACAATAAGTAATTTTAAACATTGGTACAAAAAAAAAGAAGGAAGACTTTACTTTCAGCTGCCAATGTTGGGGCTCATATAAACCCTGCTCTTTTTGGTACAGAATTCAAAAGTGAAATACAATCTCCCCCTGATTCCCCCTCAAACTATTGCATAAAAAAATTCATTGAAGAGTGATTTTTGGACCTATTCACACAATGTGCTTAATCTGATTATTAAATTAACTATTGTCGGTTTGTACAATATACTGTACAATAAACTGGGTTGGTTCACATATTATTTATTTATTTATTTATTTAATTTAATTTAATTTATATTGCCTATTCAACAGCTTACACAATGTAAAACCATATTTAAAACAAAAAATAAAAATAAAAAACAATAAAAACTAACAAAAAGAATCAAATAAATTAATAAAGTCTAATAGAACAAAATCTGGAAAAAAAATCAACCCCCAACTCCCACCCCCCGCCCCAATGACAGCAGATCACACTAGCCATTTGATGGGCTCCATCCTGCTCGCTGGCAGAACCAGGTCTTCAGCGCCTTTCAAAAGAGTGCTAGAGTGGGGGCCATTCTAATCTCTGGGGGAATGATGTTCCAGAGAGAGGGAGCCACCACGGAGAAGGCCCTTCTTCTGGGTCCCACCAGGTGTATCTCCCTCAGGGATGGGACCTGCAACATTCCCTGCCTCCCCGCTCTAATGGGTCGGGTAGGTGTGACCGGCAAGAGATGTTCCCTCAGATAACCCAGTCCCAAGCCATGAAGGGCTTTAAAGGTGACAGCCAGCACCTTGAATTGCCAGGAAGCAAATCGGCAACCAATGCAGCTCCTGCAGGAGAGGATATCCTAAGCAAAGAAGAAGAAGCATTCCCAGTAAAGAGAGCACTGTTATAATAACTAAGTTTACCTCTTCACCAGAGAATGGTGGAAGGGCTTCTTCATGAACTGTAGAACATACCACGTTTGATTCATCATCAGTGCCTTTCTCCTTCTCTTCTTTCCTTTTATGAAGTCTTCTTTGCTCTTCATCCTCCTAGGAAAAAAATTGAAAATCAAAGTGGTTTTTTTAAATCTGCAAGATAGAAAATGCTCTCTCTCTCTCTCTCTCTCTCTCTCTCTCTCTCTCTCTCTCTCTCTCTCACACACACACACACACACACACACACACCAAAACAGCATCATTTCAGATGAATACAAATCATTCTTAAAAACTCAGACTACAATAGCATTATCTTTTAGTATAATTAACATTTCAATATATCTTAACTTATAAGTTGGCTTCTTTGTGCAAAATATTAGACATCAATAATGCAAACATCAAAAGCCCATATGTAAGTACGGTTGTAGTGATGAGCTACTGTGGTGCAGTGGTTAGAGTGCAGTACTGCAGGCTACTTCTGCTGCCTGCCAGCTGCCTGCAATTTGGCAATTCAAATCTCACCAGGCTCAAGGTTGACTCAGCCTTCCATTCTTCCAAGGTGGGTAAAATGAGGACCCAGATTGGGGGGGGGGCAATATGCTCCCTCTCCACTTAAGAGAGGGCTGTAAAGCGCTATACAAGTCTCTAAGTGCTATTGTTAGTGCTACTACAAGTGGACCTTGACTTACAACCATTTTTAGCGACCATTCGAAGTTACAACAACACTGAAAAAAGTGACTTAGGACTGATCCCCATTTGCAATCTTCTCAGCCAGCTTTTGACAAGCAAAGTCAATGGGGGAAGTCAGATTCCCTTAACAACCACATGGTTCACTTAACGACTGCAGTGATTCACTTAACAACCATGGCAAAAAAGGTCATAAATCAGGTGCAACTCACTTAGCAATTGCCTTGCTTAGCAACCGAAATTCTGGCCTCAATTGTGGTCATAAATTGATAATTATTTATATAATTAGAGTGCATATACTTCTTCCGTTCATTCTTTGTATGCACATCCAACCTCCCAACATTTATCACAATGCATGTTAACTCCATCTAGAGATCTGATGTTATTAAGAATATGCCTCCCAAAGGTGCCTTACATACTAGAAACAAATGCTCCCTTACATCTACTTACATCTCCCTTCTTCAACTACAAGAAAATTTGGCTCCGAATCTCAGAGCTGTATTAGCTAACCTGGTCTTTTTTCTTTAGTTCTTCAACTTGCCGTAGCTGTTCTGAGGTCAGCACCATCTCCATCCATTGCATGTCCCTCATCAATAAACGCTGCGACTCCAAGAACTGGTCATTGGCCTTCTGCCACGTGTGTTTGAGCTGATTATGCTGTTGCCTTTCCTGCTCTAGTAGATGGCATACTACATGAAAATAGACAATGAATTCCAGTTTGAACTGTAGCAGTTAAGTTTGCTCACAGAGTTAATTGTGATAATATTTTGTACATGTTTAATAGCATACTGAGCAGCTAACATACACAATAATTGGAAGCAGAGTAAGCATATTGTTCAAGTAGTCCTCATTTAATGTCACAGTTTATAGTTGTTGTATGGACAGCAATCACAAGATATATAAAATAAAAAAAGAATCTTAAAAACCAAACAAGTAAAACCAAAACTATATAGCTAAAAACAACAGCAAAATTGATAATAAAGCTTTATATATTTCTAAACATAAGTAACAATACAAAACTTTCAATATATTCACACATTCAATATTTCTATCCTAACTAAAACAGAGATAAAATACAGCAAAATGAATCTTTTAAATTTTCTTCAAGACTCAGAATAACACAATAACAGAGTTGGAAGGGACCTTGGAGGTCTTCTAGTCCAACCCCCTTCTCAAGCCAGAGACATTGCTTCTTGTCCTGCCTTCAGGTGCTTTGGAAAATAGGCTGACCCCCTCTCTTTTGTGGCAGCCCCTCAAATATTGGAACACTGACATCATGTCACCCTTAGTCCTTCTTTTCATTAAACTAGACATACCTACCCTGTTCATCATTATGTTTTAGCCTCCAGTCCCCTAATCATCTTTGTTGCTCTTCTTGGCACTCTTTCTAGTGTCTCAACATTATTTTTATATTATAATGACCACAACTGGATGCAATATTCCAACTGTGGTCTTACCAAGGCATTATAAAGTGACACACTTATAAGATCACATGATCTCCAATCTATCCCTCTATTAATGCAGTCAAGACTGCTGTGGCTTTTCTGGTGGCTGCAACACGCTGCTGGCTCATATTTAAGTGACTGTCTACTAGGACTCCCAAATCCCTCTCTCAGTTACTACTATATTAAGTAAGGTACCACCTATTCTATATCTGTATATTTATAGGGTTTTTTTCTGCCTAAGAGTGAAATTGTATTTTTCTCACCACTGAATTTCATTTTGTTAGATAGGACCCAGTATTCAAGTCTGTTGAAATCCTTTTTTATCTTTAGCCTATATTCTGTTGGTTATTTCCACCGACTTGGTGTCATCTCCAAATATGAGTTCCCCTTCTATCTCCTTATATAAATCATTTATGAAGATATTGAAGAGTACTGGGCCTAAGAGCCTTGTGATATACTAATAGCCACTGCATATTTTTCTCCATATAGATGCAATTCCATTAAGGATACACACTGGTAAGAACTCTGTGTTGTTATGTTTTCAGTCAACATAATTTTCCATAGTTCTGAATGCCAAATAAAATATAGTTTATTTTCTTAAGCTGTAGCAACCACTACAACACTTGAATTCATATACTTTGTTGCACCATTAATTTGATGGGGTGTAGTTCATTTTTGATGATTTACTAAAATTGATGTAATAAGAATGTTAATTTTGAAGAGCTCAAAGCTTGATTCATCTCAAACTCAAATCAAAGGTTCTCTTGACGTAAGACTTTCAAGAGAATCCATATTGAGTTCTTATGGAAGGTATGGGTAAGAAGGAACATCATTAAAGATTTATCTGATGTATAATTCTTTACATCTCCTAAAATATATGTGCATACAATATGAACTATGAGTATAGAAGGCATACTTCAGCTGGATAATCTACAGAACAGATTATGTGGAATCATTCAGCTATATAATAAAAAAGGCATTTTTAATAACAATTTTGTAAGATTCTGTCTTAACACAGGCAAATCAGATGTAAGCCCCAGAAGGATATTGATAGATAAGAAACAGTATTCCAATTTTATTCTGTCTATTCTCAGTACTCAAGAACATAAGAACTGAATTTACTACTTGATATTACTCTTACATAACCTTACCCTATTTCAACAACACTGCTTTTTTATAGCTCTTTATTAACACTGAATTAATATTCTTTATAATTACAGGTAGTCCTTGACTTATGACCACAATGGAGCAGAAAGCAAGACAGTTGTTAAGTGAATTTTTTCCCCATTTTACAAACTTTCTTCCCACAGTTGTTAAGTTAATCACTGCAGTTTTTAAATTAGTAACGTAGTTGTTCAGTGAATCTAGTTCCCCATTGACTTCCCCTTTGTCAGAAGGTCGCAAAAGGTGATCACATGATCCTGAGACCCCAGCAACTATCATAAATATGAACCAGTTGTCAAGCATCATGTGACCATAGGGATATAGCAAGAATTGTAAATGTCAAAAATGGTCATAAGTCACTTTTTCAGTGCTGTTGCAACTTTGAACAGTCACTAAACAAATGGTTGTAAGTTGAGGACTACCTGTACTATTCTCCAGAAAACTATTTGTTCAGATGTCAAATAGAGGGAAAGAAAAGTCAGAAAGAAAAAAAACCTCCACAAAGTACGAAATAGTTCCCTTAATATGCATTACATATTTTAGAAAAATAAAACTTAACTTTATGTATGGTACACACTAATTGTAAATTAAAGACTAGCTTCTGGTTCGTATGAAGCTTCCTTCTTTCCTTGGATTGTGAGCTCTAAGAGTTATTTTTTCAATATGAGAAGACATTACACTGCATTTAGTAGCATATTATGGGCATACAACTTAGCTTGAGCATGTAGTTGCATGTTCTAAATCTAATTAAATTATTATTTTCATATTTTTAGCCCAGAAAAAAATCCATACCTTCATGAAGTTCTTTCCGTAATTTTTCTGCATCTTCTTGCAAAACAGACTTTTGAGTGTTCAAAACAGCCACATACATTTCTAGATCTGTCCTACAGGATTTCTCGGCTTCCAAGTAGTGATTCAGTTCTTTAACCTGAAAAACATACAGAGAAGCAAAAGTTAATGGTTAGCATAGATATTTATCAAGTATATTTCTAAGCATGTTAGAAAAAGTAGTTAGTCAGCAACTGTTATACTGATATAACAGCAATACCTAGGTCTTGTATATTACCCATATTGGTGCTTAAATGTTTGTGAATAAATTTTCAGTATTTCTGTATAAATACAGTATGTTCTAAAACATGGCCTGTTCTTCACACAAGTCCTAAAACTAGATCAACAGTACTCAATGAAATAATTGTCAAAAACATTATGTTTGTTCATTGATTTATTCAGGAAAATCATTCAAAGGTATGATATCTGTTGTTCTCCTTATTGCTAGACTAGAAAAAGACAAGCATGGTTTCAGAACTTAAATAAGAAACATTGATAATTTGCACTGCATGGTAATAGCTGAAATACACTTCTCTGATAGCTAAAAATGAAAAAATGAAAGTGAGATTAAATATGAAATCGAAAATAGTGATAACAGTTAGAGCAACCAGAATTAGGATTGACAAGGAAGATATTGGAATAATGTTTAAAATCTGTCTTCTGGGATCAACTATTAACAGTAAAGAAATCAGCAACCAAGAAATATGCCGTAGATTAGTATCTGGTAAGGTAATACAAAGGCCTCAGAAAAAAATATTCCTTGACGTGTTGATACATACAAAGTTCAGAATTATATCCTTAATTGTTTTCCCTGTGACAGTCTATGAAAGTGAATGTTGGATTTTGAAAAATACAGAAAGAGTATTCACTTTTTCAAAGTTGATATTGGAGAAGATTCTCAGGAATACTGTGGATAGCAGGGAAGACAAACAAATGGATCACAGATCAATCCAAGTTGTCACTGGAGACACAAATAAGCAGGCTGAAATTGTATCTTAGACCCACAATGTAAGGAGAAGCTCTTTTGAGGAATATATGGTGTTGGGGAAGAAAAGAAGAAAACCAGCAGTAAGATGGATGAACCTGAATACAGTGGTAACAGGTGCAATATTGAACAGCCTGAAGGGCCAGTTGGGGCAGATTATCCTACATGATCATGAATGAATGAATGAATGAATGGAAGTTGGTGTCTTATTTTACTTCTAATTAATTTCCTATTTTTAAAAAAATACAAAAGGTTGCTTACTTTAAGAACCTTTAGCCCATACTTTAGACTCTAAAATGTGTATTGCAAGTTATATAAAGGCCTTATATGTATATAAGTATAATAATGTATAATTAAGACAAGTGAGAATTTTAAGATGACAGCTGTTTGCTTGACTGGTATCTTCTGCTTCAATTTCATAAGTTAATAGCATGCAAAGAACTGTGTGGGGAGGATCTTGAAATGTCTCCACTACAGTATTTGTGAAAAGGTCAACTCTACAGTGAAAAAGATAATGAACGCTGCTTCCTTATCTTTTAATATTCACTTGCTAAACAAGTTCTATAATCCTCTGCTGAAAGCAAATATTAAAAGTTATTAAGAAAAAAGGAATGATGTACCTGGGATATCTTGAATATTAAACAGCAGAACTGCTATTAGTTTATTAGAAAGAAGATGCTATAGGAAATAAAACCTGTCACAAAATACCACTTAAAGGCAATCATTTTCTCTATTCATGTAATATGCAAAATTCCAAGGGAATATTGCAATATGTTGATAAAAAGCAGAGGGAGGGAGAAAGATTTTAAGTGCGGTATCAGTTTTCTCAAAACATAGTATATTTTTTAAATGCCATATATATATACTTAGCTTATTAGGATTGAATGTGAGGCCCAGGCATTCAAATCTTCACTGAGTTTTAACATTCTCTAGTAAACATCTGTTTTCCTAGTAAATTTAAAATGTATTCAACAAGATACAGATGAAGCAAAGCTACAGTTCTGAGTTTTGAAGAAAGCAGTAATGCCATGGCATGGACAGGGTTGAAGGAGAAGGATAAGAGATAATTGTATTTTTAAATATATTTATAATGCTTAGTGACAATACTTTGCTTACAGAAATCTCCTATGGTGTCACCATGTTTCCTGTCCAAAAGAGCATGAAAAATGGCATGCTACAAAGCAAAGAAACAATATGTAGTGTTGATAGATCGGTAATTATTATACTCTTCCTCAGCACTTATTGTTATTATGTTGTTTTGCTCACCTTTGAAGCTTCCAGCTCTTTTATTCTTTCTTCAGCTTCAGTCAGTTTATCCTTTAAAGTTGCAATCTCCTTCTCCATGGGCATCACAACTGAACGAAGTTTTTCGGCATCTTCTTGAGCCTGAAATCAATATTAAATGATACAATAACTTCATTTGTGACCTGATTTCAGTCACCAGTCTAGTGACTGAATCCTAACAGAATCTCAGTACTGTATCAGTTTTAGGTAACAGATTTCTTGTGTGCTGAATGTATAAAAGACACACTGATACACATTGACAATTTCAAAGCTACTTGGGTTTCAATTAGAACAGATTGTTCCACTTACTTACAATTGGTGTTTCAATATAATGCTATATAAGTAACTCAAGCAAAAAATAGAGAAAACTTTTTCAAGAAAATCATACAAATGTAAGAACAAGATGGGATGTTATGAAGACAGTATTAAAAAGTGAGTGTATAAACCAGGTTAGCATGATAAAAAAATATCAGCATAAAAGACCAGTTAGCTTTATTTAGAAATTAATAATTTATTAGTAAATTGTAACAGAACTTAATCAGATTGTTTTTTTTCTTTTACAAAGAAACAGTAAATCAAAAGAGAGTTTAATGGTTTGGAGACAGATAAAATGTCCTCTCAGATTATTTTTGCCAAGAGTAATTTTACTACAAACATGTAATGAAAATTCTAGAATACTGTACTGGCAAATAAATTGAAAAAAGCTAATGAGAAAAATAAATAAGTGGAATTAAAAATAGCAAAGATCAAATTGTGATCAAAATTAAAGGTATAAGTGAACAATTCAAAATTTTCATCAATTATATTTCTCAAATAATCAATAAAAATCAATCAATATTTAAATAAATTAACATTCAGCTCCTGAGATATACAATTTATGGAATCTTTTTTTCTATTTCAGAAATCACTTAAGTCTTGAATATTATTTAAACTGCAAAATCTCATGGATTGTCAGGGAAATTTTATAAGGCATTTAAAGATATTTTAGTCCCTGAATTTCTATTTTTATGCAATAATTTGCATCAAGGGGAACTTTTACCCGAATCTTAGAAATGCTCTAAGATAATGTGGAATAAGAGAAAAATCTCCAGGATTTGGCATTTTATAAGCCCATCTCACTTCTCAATATGAATTATAAACTGTACACTAAATCGTTAACCAACCAACAAAAAGTGATTGTAAGTGAAATTATTCTTATGGATGGCTTTATTCCAAACTGTAATATATCTACCCCTATTAGAAAACTATGAAATATTATACAAATTGTAACATAAATAAATCTTCATTAACCACATGTTCTTTATATATATTTAAACCTTTGATTCTCTGGAAATACAATTTTTAAAATAAAAATTAGTTTAAATTTGGCAGGCTTCTATAAGTTGATCAAACTAAAGCCCAGATATGTCTTAACAACTAAGATTCAGACCCCATTATTTTAAAGAGATACCAAGTAGGGTTGTCTTTTATCACCAAAGTCTTGGCAACAGCAATTAGATCCAACAACCAGATTAAAGGGATAAAAATGGGAGACATCTTTTAAATCTCTTTGCAGATGATATGATCTTAATTCTCTCAAATACTTTTCTTCAGCTACTTATATTAAGAAGGAATTAAGATGACTTTGTAGAGGTATAAGGACAATCAGCTAATCTTCATAAATCACATTTGATGTTTATTTGTACATCCCCAAAAAGTCAAAAGGAAATTTCCACACTTTTAGGGATTCCAATAGTATATAAATCTTTAAAATATTTAGGTATCACTATTACTAAAGTACCATTAAAATCTTTACAAATAATTATATACCAATATGGAAGAAATTAAACAAGGAAATGAAAAACTAGGCTTTAAAATATTTCAATATTTTGGAAAATTTTCAATGATAAAAATTAAAAATGCTTGCATGCATAAATTTTTATTTCAATGATTCCCAGTGGTGTTTTCAGATCAGCCTTTAAGACACTGGCAAAATAATTAAATAAATAAATAAAATATATTTTGCTTTCATGCACAAAAAATGAGACTAAATAAAAGCGTTTTTATATAGAGCTCAAAGCTTAGGAACAGTGAGGCTAGGACCAGCCCAATTTGTTAAATCTACTATCAAGCGGCATATGATTCTATTTTTTATGGAACGCTGGCTGCAGAATTCTGGGAGTTGAAGCCCACCCAAGTTGCCAAGGTTGAGAAACTCTGCTCTATCCTGACTAACCTTCTTCATTTCATTCTCCAAGTTTTCCTCTTCTTGACCTTCTGAAAGTCGCCTTCTAAGCTCTGCTATTTCCCGTTCAACGTTCTCTCGATATTGATTCCACTGAGATCGCTCTTGTTCCAACCTGTGATGAAACTGGCCTTCATATTCACGGACAGTTTCTGAATAATAATAACAACAAATCATCTTTGCTGACAATCATGTTACAAGACTACCAGAAGTGAGATTCTTAAGCATATTGTTTGATTATACACCTAAAATGCACCAATCCAACAAGTCAGTCTGATAGTTTACTGGAATAAAATCTTCTAGAACAGAAAATGGCCCCTTCACTGAATCTGTACAGCTTATGATTAAATGCCAAGTTCGGAGTATGTTTTCCAAGTAAACATAGAAAATGTAGATGCTGCAGTTACACCTGAAAGATTCAAACCACATTGTTTGCTCTAGTGACAGAAATGACTATGTAAACTTTTCTACACTGGAGAATATTTCAGATATTAACAATAAGTGCAAGATGGATACAGACGTACCATAATTCCTCATGCAGTTATCAACAATTCTTTGTTTTTCAAAAATATATTCACAATTCTACATCTGATAATGAAATAGAAAATCTGTGCAGGGTATAAATCAAGAGTTACAACTAACTGCCACTATACATACATACTTTTGTATATTAAAACATTGTCAGTAACAACTGTTTTAGCCTACCCTTCTTACTAATATGGTTGTTTTTCAAATACAACTGCTTCAGGTTGGAGGAAATAAATTTATCTATTTATTAAGTATAAATCCTACTTTTAAAATAGAATATACCATTAGAAGAATCATAATTTTTATGATGTTCATTTATTTATTTTTGAAAGTCTGTCTGAACCAACTTTTAACACAAGCAGGATAGGTATTTCTAAATAACAAGAAAAAATATGAAGCCACAAAATTAACCACAGAAGATGCCAAACAATGACCTCATATATCAAATCATTCTTCTGAATCAATTTAGTGCACTTCCCTTTCTACAAGAGCTATTTGAAGCAGGCAGTTTTTCCATGCGGTGGTTTGGAGTAGCAAGCCTATGTATCGGAGATAGTATGAAACTGGCCTAACAATCCACCCATTTTTATTAGTCCTACCTTTCATTATTGCCTGCAGAGAGGCAACGTCTTCCTGCCACTGTTTCTTTACGTCATCAATAGCTTCCTGTTTAGTATTTTCAGACACTGTAGCAATGGCTTTGATGTTTTCCATTTCAGCCTGTGCTTCCATGAGCTGCTTTTGAAGTTTCTCCAGATCATCATGTGCTGCCTGCAATTCTGCATTTTGCTTCTTCAGATCCTCTTTAAAAACAATAGGGGATAGTTATATAAACATTTATTTATTTTAGAGATTCCTGGAGCCAAGGGGAGAAACCTCCCATGTATTGCTAATATTGGATTAGTTCTAAGCAAATCAGTATAAATTCTACACCCAGTTTACTACTCTAGTATTCTGTTTCCCTTCCAACTCTATGATAAGCTTGAAATATTGAAACCTATACTATTGTTTTAAAACTGCTTTTTATGATGGAATCATACTTCCTAGTATCAGAAAACAGACTTTATACTTACCACGAATTTGCCATCTTAGGATGTTATGGGGAGCATTTTTTAATTTTGAGACCACGCTCTTCTTGAACAGAGTCAAGTGTGCTTTCTGCAGGGAGAAGCTGCCCGACCTTTTCAGATTGGATTGCCCTAGAAATAACCTACCATAACCACATACCAAGCTATAGTTATAGACTTCTATGCACTCAGCTGAACACCATATCAAAAACAAAACAAAAAACCCTGCAGCCTCCTTAATATTAGAAAAAAATGCTATATTTTTGTATTGTGTGACATCAAAATGTAAAAGCCTTTTTTCTTGTTTTGTATATTCTGCTCTTGAAAGTTGATCCAGATATTATTCATAACCTCTGACAGGTAACCCAATTTGATCAGCTATTTGTCTTCTAGTTTCCAGATTGCTTCCCGGAACAACTCCAAATATGGATAAAGAACAGACTTTGGAGAAGCTCTGGATAGCTACACAGCTCAGATGCCAATAGATTAATAAGAACCAAAACAACCTGCCTACTTTAACCAATGGGTGAGGCCTTCTGCTGAAGCCTTCCTCATATTCTGGAAGATTTTGGAAATCAGAGAAACTCTCAATGTAACCAAATACCCTGTTATGGAAGTTTTAGAAATATGCCACCGCTCATATGCCACTTTTCACTTTCTTCTATTAAGCCCTGTGACCTCCATTATTCTTTGCTAGGAGAAACAAGGAGACCACGATACAGAAAATAGGGGAAAATATAGAGAATATTTCTTCTAAAGGTAAGGGGACTGAAATACAAAAGATCTGAATGTCCATGGAGCTTCTCAACCATCCAGGTCATGGTTGTCCCAAAGGTATTTTTCAAATTGGACTTTCTTGGGTTGTTTTTCTTGAAAACATTTCGCTTTTCATCCAAGAAGCTTCTTCAATTTTGACTGAATGGCAGGGAAGTAAGATTTCTATTCTTTGAATAGAACCAACCTTCAGAGTGCTAACAACCAGATGACTGCAAAGTATAGAAATCTTTCTATTCCCCACCATTCAGTCAGAATTGAAGAAGTTTCTTGGGTGAGAAGCGAAACATTTTCAAGGAAAAAAAAAATAAGAAAGTCCAGTTGCCTTTTGAAAAAGCACTGAGGAAAAGATCTGAAAGACACCCATGTGGGGGGACAGGCACTCCTTCAGAAAAGTAATAAACACCTTTAGGAAGAGGTACCATTTCAAAATTGAAAAGTAGCTTCTGTGAATCTTTAGAAATGTTCTCTATTTCCCTCATTACCCAAAAGTTCCTTCCATCCCAAATGGTGTAAACATTTACTTTATTTCCTACATCTTAGAGGGTAATTTGGAGAATCTTGAACATACTTATTTTTTTATTTTTCTTATATGTATCCATGTATTCATAACTATGCTTTTTCTTATACCTATTATCTTGCAAGCAATTGACAAAAAAATAAAAAATAAATAAATATTAAACATCAGAATGATTATCATTATTACTGCTCAGATTTGTTTATGAACTCATATTATGAATCCAAGTTATTAATCTCTCTCCCAGGCCTATTTAATGCTATGGCCCAGAGCTTACCAATTCTTTCTCCACTAATTTCATGAGTTGGTTTAATGCCATTATCTGTAAAATCTAAGCTTAAATCTGGCCTAATAACCTTTTAAATTTTTTCTCATGACATGCAAGGACATTCTTTAACTCTTCTCAAGGGCTGCGATAATTCAGTTAACACAAAATCAATACTCTTCTGGGTATTCTCTCACTCCTCTGGGTATTTGTTTCAAGACCACAATCTCCTTGTCTTTATATTTCAATGTTTTCTCTTTTGCCACTTGCAATATTTGCGTTTTAATGGCGTTTTAAATCAATAGACATTCTTTATTAGTCAAAGTGCTTCTACTCAAACAAAATGGGATGGGACCACAGGCTCACTGCAAATTCTTCAAGATGATACCCACTACTTTAAATCAGTCTTGTGTTCATTAAAGTTATACAGAAAGAAGTTGCAATTGGTCATAAATGCAGCGTGGTAAGTGCCCAGAGTGCAATCACACAACCACAGAAAGTGTTGGAACAGCCAGAACTTTGAGGTCTGGTCATAGCCACCATTTATTCTGTGCTGTTGTAATTTCAAACAGTCACTGAAAAGCTGGTCGTAAGTCAAGGACTATGTGTATTCCATTCTAAATAATGTGCTATGCTTTTTCAACTCATTTTGAAGCCTAAGATTTGTGAAGGGTCTTTATGTCTTGTGAGACAGACAGTAATGTTTTTCTGTGTGGGAAAGATCCTCACATATATTTTCTCAAACAGTACATTCCCTCAAAAAATAATAATTCTCTACCTAGTCATCATAGTTAATAGTTAGTATTTTTACATCTACTTAGAATAATTAAACATTACCTTCTTTAGCCAGATACAGTTCTTTAAACTTGGCTCTCTTTTGATTAAATTCTTGCTCGAGATTCTGTTTTGTACGTAGAAATTCGACATTGACTTTCTCTAGTTCAGCTACTCGTTGAAGAAGAGCTAAAAGTGAATCAAAGAGAGACAATCATGACAATCAAAAATACTGCATATTTCTTTGAAGAAAATTATTACAAACAATATTGTTGCAAAGCTATTTAACATTCAGATAATACAAGAGATACCATGTAATCTGTAATATTCAGTAAAAGTCTTCTTTTGGTTGTACCATAAAACTGTATAATCCTATTTTCATCCCAATCTGCCATTAAGGCCAAGAAGGGATCAGCAGAGATTCTTATCTAGCCGCAGTATCTTAGTATTATGTAGAGGTACTGTAGTCATAACTATGTGGAGTCCTTTCACTTTGAAATATACAGAAGATCACATATGCAATTTATTCAATTATTATTATTGATATTTTATGTCACTTCAATTAGTCAGATTTCAGCACCTTACAAGGATTTTAATTTCAGCAACATAACATGTAACATAACATAACCAGATGCTATTTTAAAAAGATTTCAATTAGTGGTAATTCATGAAGACATAATAAATAATAGTATCATGAACTTTCAGGGATCTAATCATAACATCCCCAATTCACAAATGCCTGTTTAAATAATTAACAAATGCTTTCTAAATGTTAAGAACAAGAACACAGGGTCTTTCTAACAATAGCTAACGAAGGGAACGCCTTGAAATTCACAATGCATGGCAACACGTACAATACTCCCCTCCATCATACACATTTCTACAGCTTAGGAGGAGACATGGCTTGGCACAAACACCCAGTTTGTATGCAGAAGATTCATTACCAGCATCTCTGTTTATGAGGATCAGGCAACAAATGATAGGTAATCTCTTTGTTTCAGATACTAGAGGCTGTTGTTAGAATAAATTGTCAGAAGGTCTGAGCCAGCATGGAATCAGCACATTTTCAGTCACTGTAACAATGACACCCATAACAAATTTTGGTATATTTCACCACTTTCCCCCCAGAGAATAGCGTATATTCCAAAGCATTTCACTGTCCTTATGAGAAATTTACATAACAGATCAGAAGCCTCAGTACAGACAGAAGATGCCAAAACAGACTGGCTCCAGATTGGCAACGGACTGTGACAAGGTGTACAGGTAGTCCTTGTCTTCCAACTACAATTGGGACCAGAATTTGTGCTGCAAAGCAAGTGAATAGGGAAGCAGTTGATAGGGAAGAACAGACTGAGGCTCAATCCTGACAAGACTGGCTCTGGATATTTGGGACCCCTGGTCCTGAAGATTCTCTATCTTAGATGGGGTGGCAGTTCCCATTTGATACTATTGCAAAATGTGGAGTTTGTCTTAGATTCACAGCTTCAGCTCAAGGAGCAGGTGGCATGTTTGCATGGGGCTGCCCTTAAAAGCCATTACTAGGGCTGGTCTAGAATGTCGAAGTGCACATAGCATGGCTCAATGTGCCTATGTTAGACCACTGCTCTGTGAGCTGCACTGGTCACCAGTCAGCTTCAAGGTGCCGGTTGCCACTTATAAAGCACTGATGGTTGAGGGAGCATCTATTTCCAGTAGTTTCTTTCCATCCAGCAAACTCTGGCAGAGTGGGTTTACTTCTGGTAAATAATGCCATGTACCAGAACCTATGAAGTATGTATTGTCTGTAGCAATACAGGGCCTCTGAAACAGCAACCCCTAAGAGATTCATATGACTCCCACCCTGATGGCATTCTGAAAACCTGGCTATCCTCCAAGGTTGTTTGTTGTGTATGGTTTATGTGCTGGACGCGTAAGATCTCTACTCTTGCTTTTATTGTTTCTTGCTTTTTTTACATGTAAGCAACCCAAAATCATTAAGGAGTCAGGCAGCGTCTAAATTGTATATATTAATTATACCCTTTAAAATCATACTGCTCTACAGCAAGTAACTATATTGACCACAGAAATTAGCCTATCCTATTTCTATTCTCAGTACAATAATTGAACTGATTTCTACAGTGAAGCTCTCCAATTTAGTAAACCTTTCAGAGTAATTTAACAGCCATTCTAATGAAAGCGTTACACGACCAAGCATTTATTAAGACTTTTAACAGAAATTCCCTACTTATCAGATCCTTACAGTTTTCTGTAGCTGCTTTCTATGGTTCTTGTATATTTAAAAAAAATGATGGCTAATAATTAGAAATCAAAAGCAAATTTGCATCCCTATACTGTACCATTAAAATAATATTGCTTGAGAGAACCAATATAAACTCTTCTAATTACAACACTTCAACAGCTCTGGAGCTATTACTCCTGAATGACCTTTATTGAAACATTCATTCTTAGGCACAGTTGTCAAAAACCACAATCTAACTGAAGTGGAATTGTTCACAGCATGAGGTTTGGCAGTTAAAAAGCAGTAACATTTAAACTCCTTCACAATTTCCTCTCTCTATAAATAATGAATAATTTAACAATACAGGTGGGGGAGAACACATGATAGCCTTAAGGCATTATTTAGCAACAGGGGAGGGTCAGTGATTTCATTGCTTCTGAAAAATATTACTGTACACGTTTCCTATTCTTTTCATTGCCTAGCTTTTTCTTCACAATCCTTGAGGAATGCTGAATAGCAACACCAAAAAAAAAATGGCTATTGAAAGGAAGAAAAACCAATAATATCTCTTACTGCATGGTCAAATACATAGGAATATACAAAATTTTGATTTACTTAATTTCACTTGGTGTGTTTCTGGACCTGGCCTGATACTGACTACTTTGATAAACCATTACAGGTAGTCCCTGACTTACAACAGTTTACTTAGTGACCATTCAAAGATACAATGGCACTGAACAAAGTGATTTATGTCCATTTTTCACACACTTTGTAGCAGCCCCATGATCATGTGATCAAAATTCAGATGCTTGGCAACTGGTTCATACTTACGACCGTTGCTGTGTCCCAAGGTCATGTGGCCACCTTTTGAGATCTTTGGACACTCAAAATAAATGGGGAAGCCAGATTCACTTAATAACCATGTTGTTAACTTATCAACTGCAGTGATTCACTTAATAACTGTGGCTTAACTTAATAAAAGATGGTAAAATGGGGCAAAACTCACTTAATGTCTCAACATCATAAATTTTAGGCTCAATTGTGGTTATAAGTCAAGGACTACCTGTACTTGACCGGATGCTCTCTGCAGGGGGATCTAAAGAGAAAATATTAGCTTACATTATTAACTTCTGAACATTTTATTTATTTATTTATTTATTTAGGAAATTTATTTGCACCCATCTCATATTCAATGACTTGGACGGCTTACAGCATAAAAATATTGAAGCATTAAAAAAAACATAATCAACAATCATAGAATACTGTGGATAAAATCATTAACAAATACAAACTACTAGCACCAGATGAGAAAGAGGGGAGTCAGAGACACAGAGGTGGGGAGGTGGGATTCAGTGGTGGGCTGCTGCATGGTCGGCGAGGTTTGGGGAAATCCTTGCTGTGATCTGTGGTTGGGCCCATCCACCTGCCCTTGTACTATGCTTTCCCTAAATAACTAACTTTTCCCCCGCCCAGGCTGTCCAGGTGAGTTCCGTGCTGCCCTGCTGTACTCATTGGAGCTGCCTGAGTCGATTAGCTGCCTGTTTGAAGCTGCGTTGCAGACCCAAAGCAGGCGCTCACGACCAGCGAACCCCTTGTCAATGAAAGTGCAGCCCACCTCTGGTGGGATTAAATTTTAATAACCAACTCAAGGGTGAAGCTCCCCCATTGGGTCTCAAAACCAGGTCTTAAGGCTCTTATGAAACGTCATAGAGCCAGGTCTTAAGGCTCTTATGAAAC